CCCATCCCTCCCCAAATTGCCCAGTCTCGTGACACCGGTCACTTTCGTTATAGATCACCCCAAGAAAGAATCCTCCAAGAACCTCATGAAGTTCAGCAACCGTGAAATTCAGTGGTTCATTCATGTGCGCAAAAACATGCCGACAGAAAGAGGAAATGAGATATATCGAGAGACATTAAACGCATCCAAGGACGTCGGTATGATTTTTTTCATAAAATAATAACTTCGGAACAGTGAAAGACTCGAGTGAGCCGACGAGTGATTCCTTTCCTCGATGGTCTCCTCAAATTGAAAACGAAAAAAAATCATCACTCAAGTTGGGAGGAGACAGGGGGGAATGGAGGAACGGAAGAACAAAGAAATGTCCTAGATTTGCTCGGTTCATCGTCGTGATGCGTAACCTCGAGGACGTACCGTTATCTCAAGCACTTGAAGCGCTCGTTTTTTAGTGCTTTATTATATCACTCGAATTATCGGAATAAAATTCATACCGGGGAAGAACAAGAGAAACTACCGGTGCAGCGCACTGAGAGAAAAACAGGAGTTCTCAAACAGGTCTTACTTGTGCCAAATAAGTCGTTTGTTAAAAATGATCGAAAAGGGAGTTTTTTGTGCCAAACATGCGACGCGTCCGCTGAGATTGAACATTTTTATTGCAAAAATATATTTTGGTTTCAAAAAATTTTTATTATATAGTATTTTGCTCCCGGCAAATGCTAGTTTTATGGGAAGCGAGGGATAGCAGTTTGTCGTTTCGGCTATACAATAATTACGGATGAAAAATTAATTCTCAAATATTAAAATATTTCTTGATGAACTTCCCTCTATAAAAGATATTTTTATCCTGAAAAGCCACCGAATTCTTCTTCTATGAATGATTCGACTCTTGAGCTAAATATTTCGTTGTTGTTGAAAGCAAAGCAATTATTCATGATTGAGACTTTCAAATTCGAACCAAACAATTATTTTTTGGCAATTTTCAACAAATGATTTTGTTGGCCCAAACAAGACTTGTTTGAGAATTTTGTTTTTCTCTCACTGCGGCAGAATGGACACTGTTAAAAAATTTTGGCTGGAATTTACGGAAAATTTTAGCTTCCCGATGAGTGAAGGTATTATCAGATTGTATTTTTAGTGAAATTTCAAGGGATTTCGTAATTAAAAATTCACAATTTTATGGAAAATCAACAGAAACTGTGAAATTTGGCTCAATTATTCCGTGAAATTAACAGAAATCAAGTAAATTCAGGTGTTTGTATTCTTGAATGGTCAATTAATTATAAAATCAGTGTAGTTTCTTATTGAATATTCATGTTTTGATTGAAAATTCAAATAAGTTGAGGAATTATCATCTCCCCACTGCTTCAAAACTTGAAATCTCATGATGTTTTTCGACTGAAATTGAATTCAATATCACTCTCCTGGACATTTTAAGGAACTTCGTCATTAAGAATTCAAAATTTTATGAAAAAATCCATGGAAATTATAAATTTCAGCCCAATTATTGCATCAAGAGAAAAAGAAATCCGAAAAATTCAGATGAATATATCGTTAAATTTTCAATTAATTTAAAACTTAACAAAATTCGTTACTAAATATTCATATTTCAATTGAAAATTTAAATAGGTTTGAGACTCCTCGTTTTTCTACTACTCAAAGATACTGAACACCATTAAATTTTCACTGAAATCACAAATTTTATCATTTTTCCAGTCGAAATTTGCCGTCAATATCACATTGCTAAAAAAATGCAATATCACTCTCCGAAAAATTACTACTCAACAGTCCCTGAAATTTCATTTTGTTTCCAACATTGTACTGTCTCATTCTCCGGATTCTATTCACGTCTTACACTGGAGGAATTCTCGTTGAATCAGGATTACCCAGAGAATATATGATTATGTACATTCACTCCTCTGATATCGTTACGCTATTGCTCACTGTCCCTCCAGTATTCTGATCCTCCATTCCGTTTCGGAATTTATGAAAAACTAATCCTAACGGTAATACAATAATTAATACCGGCGAAGCGTTCTCACTAATTCGATTCATGAATTGAATTTCGTTTTTGTCATGCCGAGGGAACTCCAAGGGCATCGTGATGCCGAAGACAAGAAAGGAGAGACGCGTGATATAATTGCCGAAAACATTGAAAAAAAAAAAAACACCGCCCACATGTAGACTCTGCGAATAATATTTATATTTGAAGAGCCATAAAAGGGCACAGGGGAGCAATTCGCAGTGCATGAGCCGGTTATTCTCCCCATAAACACCTCCTTTTAAGTTTACTACATTTTTTTAGAGAAAAAAACAAGTGGGAAATTTCTTTCGTCACAACTTGATCAGTATATTTTTGATAATAAATTCGCGATTTGCTTTTGAATGGAATTTCCATGATGATCTATGTTAATTGAAGTTCAATGATTCGTTGATTATAACATTGTCCCCGCGTTGGCAGCCAACATTGCCCCAACATTGACAGTTAACATTGCCCCAACGTTAGTAGCCAGCATTGCCCCAACATTGACAGTTAACATTGTTCCAACGTTGGTAGCCTGCATTGCCTCAACGCTGACAGCCAACATTGTCTCAACATTGACAGCCGACATTGCCCCAATGTTGTAAGCCCACATTGTCCCAACATTTGCAGTCAACATTACCACAACGTTAGTGGCCAGCATTGTCTCAACATGGACAGTTCACATTGTTCCAACGTTGGTAGCCTACATTGCCTCAACATTGACATCCGACATTGCCCCAACATTACCCCAACGTTGGCATTCCACATTGTCGCAACATCGGCTGTCAAAATTGCCTCAACGTTGGCAGCCAGTATTGTCTTAACGTTGACAGCTGACATTCTCCCAACGTTGGCAGCGAACATTGTCCCAACATTGCCCCAACATTAACATTTTTCACCTTTCCCTGAATATTAGTTTCAAAATGAATTTTCTCAACAACAGATGATGTAATCAATCTCATGATCGAACTCGGTCAAGATGGCATTGGGAAGAATATATTAATTAACAATTGGATTAATGTAAACAATTATTTTTTCAGTTATCGTCGAAAAACTGTCGCTCACATACACACACAGACATATATACATCGCGGCATTGTCAAAAACTAGCACATTTCAATTCCTGAAGCCAAACTTAGCTATCCTGACACGAAAAATTTGAAATTTTGGATTTGACGAACATAATGCTTCCATTCGCAAGCAAAAAAAACAATCGTTGGATTTCAAGGACAGCCAGGGACGTCGCAGCAATAATATTCGCACACGTGCACGAAATCCTTATCGATTGCTTTGTAATAGTATAGAATCCACTTGAGCTGAACACCAGATGATTACGCGGTCTTTTTATCAAGATAAGGAGTTTAAATAAACCGTTAATCTAGGTGCGGATATATGTACGAGTTTGCAACTCAATAGGAATGAATTCCTCCCACGTTGTTGTTCTTCTGAATGTTTACAATTTAATTCATCAGGGAAGCGGTTTCTGGACACTGTCAAGACTTTCGTTGTCAGGCATTCAAGTCACTGAATTCCACGCTACCTCTTCACGTCTAATAGTGGGAGACGGTGGGGGAACAGAACAGAATGAGGCGATTTTAGAGGAAAAACTTCAGAAGAAATTTTTGGTTTGAAATTTTGTCAGCTTTAGGAAAGGCACTGTGAAATTTTCTTTCATAGTTGTACTAGGCTCTTCTTTCATACTTGTGCGAGGTGCGAACTTTACACGCGCTGTCTAGGCTACATCAAACTGACATTTGCATTAATTTTTGAATTTCATTAACAATAAACAAAATCCAATTTGCAATGCAGTGAATGAATTTATGGAATTATGTGATGGATCTGAGGATATTATAACGTCACATATCTCCACTATAATTGATAAAGGGCACAAGTTTGTCAAATCTAAAAGACCGACTTGAGGCTTCTGTTTTATTTGTTTGAATCTAGACTTTTATTCGTTAATATATAGGGTTAACCCTAGATTGGGCCACCCTGCAATTGACTGGCTAACCGGAAAAATTCAAAAAAATTTGACTTTGGCAATTGAAGTTATAGTAATTTATAGTTATAGTAATTATAGTAATTTTTAGAACAACATATTTACCAAAATTCCTAAAGAAAACAAATCATTTTGAACAGATGAATTATTTTTTCTCATTTTAAATGAAATCGCCCAGGACGCGACGCTGCCGGAAACTCGCTGAACGCGCGCGGGCAGTGTAGAGTGAATTCGGCAACGCTGGAGCCTAAATAATACGGCGGGGAATCCCCGAGGAGGTGACCAAAGTCGCAGGGTCGCGTTTGATGACCAGAGTAGGGTTAAGGATGCAACCGGCCATCTCGTATTTTTTTGCATAGACGTGTAAATTTATATATTTCAGTAGTTAAGTGGTAAACTGAGATAAGTCGACTTATCTCCCAGTTGAGTTTTTGAGGAATATTTCCGAATCTAAGGAAGATAGCGAAATTTTCGTAATCACATTTGTGGTAGCACTCAATCGGCTCCACAAAAAAGGTTATAACAAAAATTTTGCTATCTCCCTTAGATTTCGAGATATTGATTGAAAACTGGTCAATAGTCAAAATTGACTCATCTCCTTTTACCACTTCGCTACTGAATTAAATTTCGCAGATGCAGTTGATAGTTTTATCCGTACAATGGCGTTGGGGGAAAATATGAGACATTTGTTGTTTGAAATGACCCACTGAAAACCCTAGACTTCAAAATGACTCATCGCCGAAAATTTTCAAAATTTGTTTTCTTAATAAAAAAAAAAAGAAATTCGCTCTATGAAATTTTTCCTTCAGCATGAATTTAACATCGTTTTACCCCGATGATGAATAGTTTTCACAAAGCACTCTTTATCAAGATTTTTTGCAGCCGCAGGAAAAGCCCTCTGAAGTTAATCTACCAAAATTGCTCATGCACAAACCGCCCAAACCGTCGAAATTACCAATTAAAATTCAACAGTAGTCTTACCTTCTGCTGAAGTTCGCAGTACTCTGATGCTGCGGCGACCTCGACACCGGACTAACGGAAGCACTAGCACTACCACTATTTATCGAAATATCCCTCGAGGAAGATCCACTAGCACTCTGCCTCCTGCCCCTCTCCCCACTTCCCGGCGTTCTGGACCTGGTATTCCTGCGTCCTCTCCTCGGCGTAACGATCCCCGAACTCGAGTTCCTCACGACCGGCGCACTCGACGGTCTCAGCACTGTTCCAGAGCTGGTGCCGTTGGTCTGTGCAGCCAGAATTTCCGGTGCAATAAGTGCAATATCAGGTAGTGAATTTGGTGCTGATATGACAGACGATTCAGTCATAGAATCCGTTGCGATTGACGGTGGCGGTGCTCTTCTTGCTCGGTCAGCCTCCGGAAGCCTGAGATGCCGAAGTCTTCGCATTGACGCGCGCACCCACGAGTTGGCGGGTGAATTTTGAATGACATCCCGTGAAATTGAACTGTCGTAATCGTCATTTTGAGGGGGCGATTCGTCGTCGATAGTTGTTGTTATTGTTGTCATCGATGTGGCATCGTGACTGGTGTCATCGTTGTGCGGGGGATCGGTTGCACTAGCGGGTGAGGACTTGCCCGTCGCCTCGACGGACATCGCGACACTGCCATTTGAGAGAGGATTGTAGTCGCTCGGGGGACGCATGCGCACGAGCTGCTGTCCCTCCAACCGCACGTTCTCTTCACTCGCGGGCTCGGCTGTCTGGTGACTTTTACCGGGGATGGGATCACTCGGGGGATCGTTTAACGAGGGGGTTGGAGTGGTGTTTGAGGGGGGGACGGGGGGCTGGTGGGAGGCGGAGGATTTCGAGGGGGGACGGGAGCGGTGGTGCTCCAGCTCCTCCACCCAGGACCAATCCACCTCGGAGCACTCCGAGGACGAGGCTGACGGCTTCTCACTTTGGCTGGAATTGAAAATTCTAGGTTTAGAGGGGATTTCAGTCGGCGATTCAATGGGCATTCAGGGAGGGATACGATTGGAGCAGGGATAGCCAAATTTGTAATATTTTATTATAGTTAATATTGTAGCACTTAATTAGATAACATCACTCTTGAAATTTCGTATCATCAATTCGAATATTCAAATTGTCAACTATTTTATCAATCAATAATTCGAGGTAGGAAGATTGACGATTACTTGCGTAATCGAAAATCCCCTTTTAAGAAATTTGAATTATTCACTGAGTAGTAAATTTACAGTTTCATATTAACGTGCATATTAGTGGCCATTCAGGGATGATACGATTGGAGCAGGGATAGCCAAATTTGTAATGTTTTATTATGGTCAATATTGAAGCACTTAATTAGATAACATCATTCTTGAAATTTCGTATCATCAATTCAAATATTCAAATTGTCGACTATTTTATCAATCAATAATTCGAGGTAGGAAGATTGACGATTACTTATGTAATCGAAAATCCCCTTTTAAGAAATTTGAATTATTCACTTAGTAGTAAATTTACAGTTTCATATTAATGGGCATTCAGGAAGTGATATGATTTGGAGCAGGGATAGCCAAATTTGTAATATTTTATTACGTTTATTGTTGTAGCCCTTAATTAGATAACATCACTCTTGAAATTTCTTGAGTACTCAAGTATCATCAATTCAAATATTCAAATTTTCAACTATTTTATCAATCAATAATTCGAGGTAGGAAGATTGACGATTACTTATGTAATCGAAAATCCCCTTTTAATAAATTTGAATTATTCACTTAGTAGTAAATTTACAGTTTCATATTAATGGGCATTCAGGGAGTGATATGATTTGGAGCAGGGATAGCCAAATTTGTAATATTTTATTACGTTTATTGTTGTAGCCCTTAATTAGATAACATCACTCTTGAAATTTCTTGAGTACTCAAGTATCATCAATTCAAATATTCAAATTTTCAACTATTTTATCAATCAATAATTCGAGGTAGGAAGATTGACGATTACTTATGTAATCGAAAATCCCCTTTCAAGAAATTTGAATTATTCACTTAGTAGTAAATTTACAGTTTCATATTAACAAATTTTAAATATAGCATTATTCGTAAAAAATCAGATTATTTTTTTTGAGGAGTATTTCAGTCTGGAATTGATGAAAAATTAAATCGTCAAAATTCAAACAGCATGAAGCGATAATTAATGTCATCATGACTCCCTCACTAGTTCGTTTCATGCATTGAATTTTCATTTTATTTAGCAGGGCGTTGAGGGGGGGGGGGGGGTGGAGAGAGAGAACAAATCGTAAAAAACTGAAAGTATCCGAGGACTTTCAGTCAAAAATTTTCAAAAGTGTATGAAAATTGCGTTATCCCCATTCGATGTGAAGATGGCCGAGGGAAACTAAACACAAAGTGCAGTCAAGTTATTCTAAAAGAATTCATAAATTTTCAAAAATCGTTTCCGGCCACGTGCACTCATTTAAGATCCCCCACCGAGCCCCTTGAGGTCCTGAGACAACTGGGTGCGCGTGCCCAAGGTGATATCCGCGATGTTTCAGTGCGTACTTCCACTTCCGGTTGCGTGTATTTGAATCTAAATACAGCCAGGGTTGATGCTAATGGCTCTTTACGCTATTGACCACGTGCCAATGGTCGAGTAGGGAAAGTACCTTTGCTGGTGCTAGGGCGAGTTATCGCCCAGGTGGCACGCACAGTCTACTCTGTTATTCTACTTCAAAATTCTAATTCTGATTCTGGATTTTTTAAGGCGGAAAAATATGCAATGGCACAGAAATTATCATTGAAAGTCCGCATGAGGATGTGGCTCACATTTTCATTAATGGTAACTGCGAGCTCTTGCATCTGTTTTTTTTTATTTATTAATTTTCAGATTTTCAGTAAACAATGTTGAAAATTTTTCGCTGAAATTTTCGGTAGATTTTTTGGAAATTTTTATCACATTTCGGTTCCAGAGAAGATTCAAAATTTCATGGAATTCATTTTCATGGATAATTTCATGGTAAATTCTGTTTAATTATTCTCTGAGGATTAGTAGAAATCAGGAAAATTCCGGTAATATATTCTCGAATTTTAAATTAATTGAAAATTGATGTTAATTCGACTCTGAATATTCATGATTCCATTGAAAATTTTAATAGATTGAGGAATTCTCACTCAATACTGTTTACAGATCCAAAATTTCAGTGAATTTTCAGGGAAATCTAAAACTTTCTTGAAAATTAATAATCGACTATTCATGAAATTTCAACTTTGTTTTCAAAAATAAATATTTGTCTTCAATTTAGAAAAAAAAATGAAGTTGTTTCGAAAGATTTGTGACACTGCAATTGAATTCCGTTAATCCAGTTGAAAAAGTATGAACTGACTCCGAATATTCTAGCATAAATCTATAGTTTTCAACATAGAAAGTTTATTCGTTGGGGTTATCAATATTCATTTCTTTTCGCGCAATTCTCCCCTCGTGCGATTCTACGGAAATTCCATATTTCGTAAATAATTTTACACGAATATTCAACGCCGCACTAGAAATATTGATTATTTAATTGGATGTTCGCTATATTCTTCAAGAAAAAAGAGTTTTCATAATTTCATGATATAAAGTCAATACTTCTTTGATTATTTGACCTGAATACTCTGTGTTCCGTAAAAATATTCATCTAGTAGTTTAAATTATTCTAAAAATTAAAAAATGTACACTGTTAAAGATTCTTGGCTGAAACTCCCGGTACACGTTTTGAAAAATTTTATCCCGTTTTAGTTCCACTGAAAATGCAGTAAATTTCGTCATTAAAAATCCAGAATTTCATGGAAAAATCAATGAGAACTGGAAATTCCAGTTGAATTATTCCCTGAAAACTAGCAGAGATTAAAACCATTCCGTTAAATATATTCTGGAATTGTTAATCAATTGAAAATTGATCGTAATTCGGCACTGAGTACTCCTGACTTCATTGGAAACTCGAATAGTTCAAAGAATTCTCATTTCAATGCTGTTCAGGAAATTCCAAATTTCATTGAATTTTCAGTAAAATCTCAAATTTCATGATTGTAAATTGCATTCAATCCCACTCTCCTAAAAATCATGAGGTGATTGTCCATGAAATTTCAATTTATTTATCCAACTCCAGAGATTTCTTCTTTTAAAATGCAAGCAAATTCCCAAGGCGTATGATAGATTATCGAGATCTTCATCCCGATTCATTACGACCATTCTGATATCCGTTAGTCTTACGGTATTGGCTGAAAAAACCTAAACCCCGCAAATAGTTATGCACACTCTGATTTTATGATCCTTGACTTGAAACACTGTATACATTACGAGTGGAATGCAGCTACACGCAATCATAAAAAATTTTTTTGTGCATTCTAGGAATCAACGGGAGCATCTACAGCGCACCCATCACTCCGGAATACCGAGATTTTTTTCACATGCTGAATTCATTGATTTAATAAACCAAACAAGCTCACCGAAATAATAAAAATCACTGAAGTGTGGATAACTAAAGTGGCCCACGCGGAAACCTTGATGACATTCGCTTTGCATACTTCAATATAAATGTAGACGAGCACACGCCTACGTATTATCATAATGAACGGTTACTCGGCTGCGTTTTATTCATTAGATCCCGATTTATTCTGTTCAGAATGAAAACTACTTTCGTATCTGTGGAGATCATCGATGATTGGACATTTTATTCACCGAATTATTGGATTTTATATGCATCATTCATAAATAATAGAATAGTATCGGTGCAAATGATCATTACGTTAGGCATTTTCAAGTGTCCAATGCGTTATTTAAATATTCATTTCCCATAAAAATTTTTTTTTTCGCATTGAGGATATCCAAGTATCTTTTAAAGTTTGATACGAAATAGATCTGGCATATCGTGAGGGTAGCTCGTGGGGTTATTTGGAGACGAAAACTAATGAAATTTTTGTCTCCGACGCTTTGTTTATAAGTTATCAAGGAAAAAGGACAGCCGATCAAACGCTATTCCCCGATAGAGAGATCATACCCCCTTTCCCATTCAAGGCGGAGGGATGATGGCATTGAATGTCCAATCGATTCCAATCAATTTCATTTCTTGATATTGAATGAGAGTGGAGATATGAATTTTTTACGTTGACTCTGATTTTTAGGGTTCCATTGCTTTTAGGAACCAAATGGCTCTGACGCCGCGTTGAAATTCATTGCGGGTTTTCTCACCCGGGCATGATGATAGAAGAACAATTTTTTTTCAGATCATTGTGCATTAAATGCCCAATCGATTGCCATCATTTTCATTCCTCCAGCCGAAGTGAGAGAGGAGATATGAATTTTCAAAAAGAGGGTCATTTGCGGTGGATTTTTGATTTGTTGACGAATAACTCCTTAACGAAGCGCCGGAGACAAAAGTTTCGTTCGAGTTTTTGTCTCCAAATAATCCCCCCGAGCTACCCTCACGATATGGGGAACCAATTTTGGGACATCCGGTAGATTCAGTTATTTTCAATCATCAAATTTGTCAATTAAATTGCGTTTTGCAGAGACTAGTTATTTTTTTAGCATTTGTTTTTCTTTTAAATACATCATAAAAATTGTTAAACTTTTCGGAAAACCCTTTTTTTAGGCATGGAATCGATTTTTGGTAAAATTCTGAATATGAATAAATTTGTTACGATTCCGAATAATTTTTTTTCAACTTTTGAAAACTAAATAATTCCGAATAAATGATTTTTTTGATGGAAAATTGATTGTTTACAAATTATTTTAAAAAGATGCTCTTAATTTTCTAAAATTGCATTTTGTTCAATCATTTCATCACTTTTTCTTCAGAAGTAAACTTTCTAATTTTCTTCAGATTTTTAACATGTTTTCTAACTGTTCAATATTGAGATTTAAATTCAGGTCTGTAAAGTTCGCATAATAAAATCATTGTAAAATGTCCGAAAACTTGGGGTCACATGGCCCTCAAATGAAAGCTCTAATGTTCGACCACAAAACTAGAAAAGCATATCACCGGAGAGAAAACAGGGATCGGCATCAATCCTTAGATTATTAAAATTAACAGAAGTTGCACCTTACAATAATTAAGATTTACTTATCTTCATTGAAATTTGAAAAATAATAAAATAATTGATAATCTGAATTTTCACTTGCCTATTGAGTAAATAATTCCAAATTTGATAAAAAAGATTTTCGATTAGTCAAATAATCGTCGACCTTCAAAACTCAATTATTGACTGGCAAAATAATTCGGCAAATAATTAAATATTTGAATATTTAATTGATGATTAATTCAATAATGTGAAAATTGTCCAGTAATATTAGCCAATTGCCTTAGTCTTCCAGAAAATAGCCAAACTATTCGGATACCCTTAAAAATAACTCGAATCCCCAAATCGACTTCCCCAAAATAAACCAAACTTACCAACTAGATGAGCTGACAACCCCAGAAGTAGACGGTTGACACGAATAATCGACATGAAAGCTCGTAGACCTCTCGAACAAACAAGAATCTTCCTCACTGCCACCAGCACTCCACGACTTCCTCTCCAGCCTCTGTGCTTTTCTCCTCCCGTTGTGCCTCACCTCATCCACCCCAAAATTCACAGACTTCGGTCTATCACCCATTGAAAAATCGAATCTAGGTTTTTTGGAAGGAGGCGACACGTCGTACCCCAGATTATCGAATTCCGTGGAAACATCGCTTCCCCCGCTCTTAATAACCGGACTCTCATCATTGCAGTCCAACTCTTTATTACAGACATCAACATCGTGAAAGCTTCCACTGGGATTTTTGATGAAACACATGGGCTCGAGGGGATAGGGGTTCAATCGTCTCGTCTCACCCCCCAGACCCTCTTCGTCTACGAACTCTTTGGTTCTCCCATCGATTTCCTCTTCGTTGTCATCCAATTCCGATAGAAAATCGAAGGCACTGATGGCTTGAGCTTCAACCGTCGACTCATCCGCCTCTTCTACCCACAAAAACGGCTTAGGACTGTCCAGCTGATCATTCCCCTCGCTTTCGAGAGCATCTGAAGCAGAGTTCATCACGGGTTCGAGATTCTTCGTGATGTCCCGCACCCTCTTGATGGTCTCTGAGGACACCACATCGATTCTCTTTCTCGTTGGCACCACCTGATCATGCCCCAGGGTCACCAAGATATCCCCATTGTCGCAGTACTCACGCACTAGTTTGTGCTCTCGTGTCAACGACAGCTTCTGCTCCAATTTCGGGGGACAGACGTCCAGGAGGTGCTCCTGTTCGTCAGCCGTTGCGTCGTGAATTGACGCCCTGGAGACATTGATGCCCCCTTCGAGGTCAATCAAGTCCTCGTCGTCTGCGACATTCGCCATCTTACGATTTCGGTTCTTGCCAACTGCAACATAAAGTGAGAGACGCATTAAGGTTAAAGTTAAGGAGGTGTTCTAGAGTCAAGTGGCTGGAAGTAACGCCCTAACTTCACCCATATAACTCTAGAATGGAGCGACTAGGCGCACATTGCCACCTAAATCTATCAAGAGCTATTGTAGCGGCCGCTTGATCAAGACTTTGAATAGTTAGATCATCACCATTCTATCCGACCGAGAATCGCACCTGAAACCTCTTGTATGTGAGGCAACCCTCTTTTTTTTAAACCAGGTTTTCATTCAAAAACACATTTTTACGGGGAAACATCAATGTTGTTGGTGTTTTTGTGCTTAAAAAAATGAAGCAACCCTCTCACGCCATTAACGGACAACGCCAACGCTTAATAAAAGGATTGAACTCGAAACTCTAATTTTTTTAGAATTTTTAAGCGTCGAGAAATACGATAAATATAAAAAAATGAAAACGGGCGGCGCTGCGCTCATTGAGCGAGTGATTAAGGGGTACCGATGGATCAATTTTGTGGATTACTTTATTCCCTCTGTGAGAAACCAAACTGTTGCGAGTATAAATCAACCGAGAAGATAAATGGGAATGGGATTCACTCTAGAGTGTAATTTAATCGGACGGGGAGAAAAATACTAGCGAAAAAAATGGGATTTTATCGAGATGGAAAACGTGAGAGAAAAGATCAGTTGAAGTTTCCCCTGGCAACGATATTCTAGTATACGATCCAGCCGTTCCACATACAGCCCCATGACTTTCCTAAGTGTTACAGCGACCTGGTGACCAGGATAGAGATCGCATCACGAAAGGTTTATAGGTGCGGTCCTTATTTTCAGGAGTACCGTGGAAGTACCGTTGGGCACGATCAACTTGAGGATGAAAATACTGATGCGCCGGGGGACATGATGGTCTATATCCTGATTAGGTTTTAAATTATTCTTGACAGATCACTTCAGGTGAACGAGGTTTCTGTGATCGCTGATACCTCGAAGTTGAGAGAGTGAAAAGCAACAGGATTTTTATTTTTATTTTCAAGGTATTTTCGAAGTTCGAAATGAGAAGACATTCATTCCAATTGGATTTTTGCAGATTTTTATACTTTTAAACGTGGTTGCAAGCTCCATATAAAGGGGATGAGATGACGAACTCATATTTGGGAAAAGGTAGATAAAAAGGTGTTTGTTATCTAGAGTTTTGACTTGGGTGAATTCTAAAAGGATTTTGATTTATTAATTGATTGATTGATTGAGAATGTTATTACTGTACATTATATCGTACAAGTTCCATAATGACACAAGTCATGTAGCAAAGATAATAGAAGCAATATAAACAGAGGTTCAGATAATGAACACACACGCTGTAAGTGTTACACTGTTTAACGTAAAAGGAAAGCTGAAAAGGGCAGGTGGTGGACTGTCGACAAGAGCAAGAAAAAGGCATTAATGAACGTTAGAAAAGGAGGTTAAAGTACGGAAGTACAGCAATCGCTATCTAGGGGATATCTCCAAGATGCTCCCCCAGAGCCGCCTCGAATGATGATTAATATAAGGGGGATGAAATGATGAAGCCAGATTTAGGAAAAGGTAGATAAAAGGGTGTTTGGTATCTAGAGTTTTGACTTGGGGAATTCTAAAAGGATTTTGATTGATTGATTGAGAATGTTATTACTGTACATTATATCGTACAAGTTCCATAATGACACAAGTCATGTAGCAAAGATAATAGAAGCAATATAAACAGAGGTTCAGATAATGAACACACACGCTGTAAGTGTTACACTGTTTAACGTAAAAGGAAAGCTGAAAAGGGCAGGTGGTGGACTGTCGACAAGAGCAAGAAAAAGGCATTAATAAACGGTAGAAAAGGAGGTTAAAGTGCAGGCTGCGGAAGTACGGCAATCGCTATCTAGGGGATATCTCCAAGATGCTCCCCCAGAGCCGCCTCGAATGATGATTAATATAAGGGGGATGAAATGATGAAGCCAGATTTAGGAAAAGGTAGATAAAAGGGTGTTTGGTATCTAGAGTTTTGACTTGAGGAATTCTAAAAGGATTTTGATTGATTGATTGATTGATTGAGAATGTTATTACTGTACATTATGTCGTACAAATTCCATAATGACACAAGTCATGTAGCAAAGATAATAGAGACAATATAAACAGAGGTTCAGATAATGAACACACACGCTGTAAGTGTTACCCTGTCAAACGTAAAAGCAATGCTCAAAAGGGCAAGAGGACCTATAGGGATATCCCTAAGGTGTGTTGTCCCTCATCGAGACAAACTCGATGTATTAATATCAATATTGAATTTCAATTTGGTTGGAGTCGCCATCTTAGCTAATTACCGAAAATTTCGTCATCTTCTTGAACCGTTGACTTGAACCGTTTTACCGCTTCGTGTTACTGATTTGTTTGAGAAATCACAAATTGAGTATTCGCAAAAAAGTTCAAGTTTTTAAGTAAGTGATATATCTTCGACGATTTTCTTACCAAAATTGTGAGCTGATTGCCAAATCTCTCTCAAAAACGCAGCCATCAGTGAGTGAAATCCAATAAAAATTTACGATTTTATGCACAAATGCTCTAATGAGGGAACGTCAACCTTGCACTTGACCCAAACACTGGAATACACCCATATTAATTGAAACTAATTCAAGAAAAATGCGATTCTGCTATTAACTGCGAGGTTGAGCCTCCGATGGCTCTCGCAGAAGAGACTAATATCCACTGTATATTGACAGACCAAGCAATCAAACACACTTAGGAACCATTAGCATGTCGTCGATAATTTTGTTGTGAATGTGCAGTGTGGGAGAAGCTCACGATACACGCATGAATACCAGATTATCATTGACAAGTCCCCATATGCGAGAGCAATTCCATGATGACGATAATACGAGGAAAAATCGTTTTGTTATTACGATGAACCTGAGAAATTGGTAATGATAATATAATAACGATAATGACGATAATATGAGGAAAAATCGTTTTGTTATTACGGTGAACCTGAGAAATTGGCAATGATTCTTCAATTTTCAAAGTAGGAAATCTAAATTAGAGTTGAAAAGATCCAAGCAAAGTTTATGTTGAGACACAACAAAGTGGTAGTGCATCAAACTGTATAAATAAAGACAGTCACAGGCCGTCGGCCAAATTGCATCGTTCAATTTTCTGAGGGGTTACGATCACTAGTAAATATTCTACTAGATTTTTTTATCGTTCAGAATCAAATGACGTCACCTATTCTGTGGATGCAACAACACCTTCAGTAATAGATCCCCCCAAATATTTATATGTTTTTATCAAAGACTCGACTATCACCAGAGTGCATCGAACTTTTAATCCCGCGGCTAATGCTATGAATCCCTCGCATCTATCGCCCAAGAGTTGATGTTCCTCTCTAACATTCTAGTTCAAAAGTCTCGTAGATGTTCCCACCTGTTTCCACACACACATGCACATCCACTGGGACACTTCAACCTTTGCACTGGAATAACCGACCTAACAGAAAGTCCTCGGCCACTAGAATCTCATTGACAAGTCCCCATATGCGAGAGCAATTCCATGATGACGATAATACGAGGAAAAATCGTTTTGTTATTACGGTGAACCTGAGAAATGAGTAATGATTCTTCAATTTTCAAAGTAGGGAATCTAAATTAGAGTTGAAAAGTTCCAAGCAAAGTTTATGTTGAGACATAACAAAGAGGTAGTGCATCAAACTGTATAAATAAAGACAGTCACAGGCCTTCGGCCAAATTGAATCGTTCAATTTTCTGAGGGGTTACGATCACTAGTAAATATTCTACTAGATTGTTTTATCGTTCAGAATCAAATGACGTCACCTGTTCTGCGGATGTAACAACACCTCCAGTAATAGATCCCCCAAATAATTATATATTTTTATCAAAGACTCGACTATCACCAGAGTGCATCGAACTTTTAATCCCGCGGCTAATATTATGAATCCCTCGTATCTATCGCCCAAGAGTTGATGTTCCTCTCTAACATTCTAGTTCAAAAATCCTCGTAGATGTTCCCATCTATTTCCATACACACATGCACACCCACTGGGACACGTATACCAATCGCTTTGCATTGGAATAAACGACCTGATAGAAATGCCTCGGCGAGTCATTTGGCCGCCCGCAGTATTTACGCTGCCCTCTTTTTGTTGTTTCTTCTCCTTTTATCTTCATGACGGTTTTAGACGCTCCGAAGTCGGTCACTATGTAGTAATCTTAGACCAGATTCATTCTCAGTGACTCCCGTTGCATCTCTCTATCGTCAATTTGAATTTCATGGGTCATTGTGAATTAAAAATGCTGGCTTTTGCTATTCTTCACTCATTATTTGACCTGAATTTCAGCTCTCATCCCCTCTACACCGTTTTTTTTTCATGGAATATTGACGTTGTTTCTTTGGTATTGTAATGAAAATGTAAAATACTCCATATTTTGGTGTTAATTTATGAATATTGATTTAAATATTAATATTTTTTATTTGTTTTTTATATTAAATTATTTTAATATTATTATATTTAAATTAATAATCATAAGTTGATAGAATAATATAAATTAATGTAATTAGCATAATAATATTATGCTAATGACATTAATTTATATTATTTTATTTAGTTTTATTTGCATTTCCGTCTTCACAATTAGGTTAGGCCGTGACTATTCGCACCATTGCGTGAATCACTCCCGTACACTCCATACACTCCACGCATGCGTGAAGTTTGTGTGTTTCACGCAGCCGAATTTTCATACTGCTGTGTATTTCACGCAGTTGAAGTTTCATACTACTGTGTGTTTCACGCAGTTG